TTTTGTATACTTTGATAATGAAAGTAATACATTTAAAGCCTTTTCCGAATACCTACAGCATCTTTGCTGGTGAGCACGATGTGATCTGGTACACGAAACAAGAAGCCGTAACAAACTATGGAAGCTATTTTTGGGGACGTTACTTCGTTTAATTCAAAGCTTGTAAAACTGTAACATTATTATTATTCACAAACACCTTATGGGTACATAAGTACTGTGAAGAAACCATTTCAGGTTTCTTCAAAAAATGCAATAATACACAATCTTCAATAATGTTAACATTACATATACCATGTTTGAGAAAGGAAGGAAAAGGAAAATGAATTATTAACAATAGAATAGTAATAATAAATCAGGTTCTGTGTAATTAGCAAGAATTTACTTGTGTCCCAAGTCTTCTACAGATCATAAGCTTTCGTTTGATGTATGATTCACTGATATAGCATTTTCTTTTTCAAAGCTATTGTAATTTAGACGTGAACTTTTGTACTCTATTTTCTACTATAATCCCCCAGTTTTGGACATAATTGCATTTTCATAATTATTGTATGTTGTGGTCAGGTTATTCATCTATTTATTCATGTAACTTTTCAGACTATTCGGAATTCGAGTGCTCGATCGAGATTGGAATAAAGTGATTAGTGTTCCAGTTGTCCTTGTCTTCTCTCTCTCTCGCGTGCTTGCCAGCCAATCAGGGACAGAATAGTTTTCGTCTCTTTACCCCCACTTCGAACTCACGCATACTAGTTTAAGGTTAAGCCAGTAAGCCTATCGCGTCAAGGTCTTAATCTACATTAGACAAGTTATACTCGGCACTGAAGTGGGTAGACAGATTCAAGGACGTAACTGTGTGTCTCTTCTTTGTCGGAATATCCTATGTCATAATTTTTAGTTGCACATATTATGATATTGTTTCCATATTTTCCCCGCCTTTTTGTATAATTTGATCTTCTTCATGACGAAACAGACACTTAAGATCAAGATACCTTCGTTTCCCACATTTCAGCTCATGTTATTCTAGCTCGACAATACAGGAGCCTGATTCAGCTATGTAGAAGGTGACTTCCATGAGCATTGCATTATAGTTCCAACAGCATTATTCTCCGCAGTGGTGTAGGTACTACCACGCGATTTTAACGGGTACATAACACCCAGTATAATACTAGTAATGTTTCGGAATCTTGCGACACGCCAAATAGGTCCGTCCTTAAACGTGGGATCCTAAGCCACAGGCAAAGTTTACTTCAACTTCTTCACAGAATCGATCTGCAAATGGGTTTTGGTTGTTGCAGATATTTCGATGACGACATTGGTATAGACCCGCTACAACACCATAGTTTACTCATCGAGTTGTGCAAGATTGGTAGATGTAAATACCAATTTATTCGTTTGTAGAATTATAGCCTAATTCGATATTAGTACTATTTTAATAATACACCAAATCCTAAATTTGTAGATACATCATGATATGATTGCCCAATCTATAAGATCTTATGTGGAAGTCACATCATTGTCTATTATGACTTATCGTGTCATGACGATTACCAATATGATACTTAGTGCTTCTGAAAGAAAACATTTGAGTTGAGGACAGAATAATATATCTAATGGGGATAGTAATAAGTTACACATAGAGACCACATCTGCAAGGCTGGGTCATACCATGTGATCGAATGAGTGAATGTACACACGTTCACTATTCTTGACATTCTCTTAGTGTAACATGTTGAAAGTGAGTCTTCTCAGTAATTATATGTTCAGCTTCGAAGGTTGTGGGGTTAGGAACCATTACTACTACATGTTTGTGGAACTTCATTTTCTGACTGTAGATTATTCAAAGTCGCAATAAAGTATACCATCGAATCATTCTATCAACAGATACTCGACAAGTACCCTGGTTCTTACCAAACACAAATGAAATTGCAGTGCTTCACCAGTAATGTTGAACACCACATCACGATTACAGGACCACTTAGACTATCGAAGGCGTCCCAACTGGCTCCAGAAAAGCTAAGGTTGACCAAAACCGAATTCAACCACACGATAGATTAGGAAATTATTCGACTGTCGAACAGACCATCAGCATCTCTATTGCACACGGCTCCTAAATTGGACAGCGAAGGCTGTCGTTCAACTGGGGATTATCGACGACTGAATGCGAGCACCTCTCCCGATAGTGGATCTTTCGATCATAAATATTTTAAGAATAAAAGCGTTATCAAGCACCTAATGTCTATGACATCATCAAGATAGTCTTCAGGATGCTAAGGGTATTTGTAATTTGACAACACTTTAACAGTAACACCTATACTTGAATCGCTCCTACCCAGTAAAATTAAAAGTCAGAAGTGAGGAGGTTGGAAGATATATTTGACAGATTATCGATATATTGAGGAGTGACGGATCTAAACTGGCTAGTGATTGCAGGAGAAGTTGAGCACGATGTTCCAACTCGTGATCTGGTGCGGATGCATGGCCGAGCGCCCTCAGCTAAATGAGTCCGTTAAAACTAATGTGGTCAGCACCCAATGTCGAACACTTACAGAGCTACTGAATTCGGGGATTTTCTTACCGTTGGAAGACCTTATGGAACCACCTATTACACTCATCACATTGTATTCGTTCCTCTACAGGGAATAAACAACATGGTTGCCCACATTTTTGAACAGGGCCGACCATCTTAAAAATCAACTGAAAATGGTAACACGCAAATGGATTTGAAAATTTTTTTAACCTAAACCGGAACAAGTCAAGTCAAGGTCAGCCAGATATGCTTTGATGCGACAAATACACAAAAGAAAAGTCAATACACTCACACAAAAAGAAGTCCAACCAGAATGTAAACAGTAGTTTTGGTGGGTAATTTACTATCAAATGGTCACAAAATCTACAAGCAGCCTACGGTCATCGAAACCGTTAAAGGTACTGCTGTGCGGAATACAAACAAATGAGGAACATATGCACAAAGGCAATAAGAGAAGGTAGGCTTCATTACCAGATAAAATTTAATGATAGATTTGTCTCCATTTCGAAAAAATTGTTATACAGCCTCTCCTCAACAAGCCAAGAATGGAGTTTCCCCACTGCCACGTCCTAATGGCCTGATCAAAAACGATGGTTACGCTGCCAGCCTTCTGGCAGAACAGTACTCTCGGACATTTCAACAGACCCACACTGACTATATTAGTGAAAGCTTCATCTGCAACTCCACAGAACTTTCGACAGTGAACCTGAGCTCTGACTCGGTTTACCGGAATCTGCAGCACCTAAAGAAAACACTCTTCCTGGTCCGGATATGGTTCATTCTGCCGTACTGAGGGAAGCAGCTTCAATCTTGGCAACATAACTTGGCGTGATGTTCTCACATTCGCTACACTGAGGCACATTAACAGAAGTTTGGAGGCTGAATCCCAACACCAGTTTTCAAAGGAGGTCGACACAGCGAATTTTCAAGCTACCGACCAATGGCCCTTCTCTGTATACCTTCAAAAATTACAAAATCCCTGATATGCAACGGTATATATGACTATTTATTATCCTGAAACTTCTTTTCACCCCAACAGTATGGTTTCAGGAAGGCTCATTCTTGTATAACCAACCTGCTGACTGTGGTGGACAGATGGACAAACATCATTGATAGCAATGGGAAGGTTGATATCACTTACATTGACCTCTTAAATGCTTTTGGTGGGGTCAGATATATATGTCTTATCAATAAGCTCAAAAAGTTAGGTATCAAACCACCTCTAATTCATTGGCTCACTTCATATATAAAAAATCGACATTTCAAGTTCAGTGTTGACTTCAATTTCTCCCAGGCTATAGGGGTCCCTCAGGGTTCTTTACTAGGACCTCTTCATTTCTTGATTCATATAAACGATCTTCCACAATAGGAGTCGTCAAACTTATTAATTTTCGCTGATGATGGGAAACTTTAGAGAGAGGTACGCAACCGAGAGGACGAACTGGCACTTTCGGAGGATGTGACTCGTTTTCAAAGTTCTGTCGATGATAATGGATTTGCCTTTAACACTTCAAAGTGTGAAGTAGTTCATTTGAGACATATTGCAAACTGCATCTACAACTTAGGCAACTTCCCTCTAGGAGTATCACAAGTTGATAATGATCTGGGAGTGTTAGTACCCTACGATGTGAAGTCTTACACTAGCTGCGACAAAACTGCCTTCCGAGCAAACCATGCGATGATAACATTCAAGTCCATTTTTGGCCAGTTTGACGGAAGAAGTTTCCACCCAGTCTTCAACAGTTTTATTCATCTCCATTTAGAATACAGAGACATAGTATTTCCTCCCTCATTCCAGAAGGATAAAGACACTATAAACATATCCAACAGTGAGCCGCACAATCCGCTTGGGGACTCAAATTCAAGCTTCATGAATAGCGCCTCCAGTGACTGGACTTTTGCCAATTAGATACAGACGTCTTAGAGGTGGCCTTCTAATGGTTTACAGCATCCTAAATACTTCTGGACATCCCCTTGAAGACGTACGTAGGCTCAGTCCCAACAAAACTTTAGGGGTAGCACCCAGAAACTAGAGACACAAGACAACGGAACAGACTTTGAACACACCTTCTACTCCTTGAAGGAAGTCAAATGTTGGGAATCTCTGCCGGTCGAGTTAGTCCAAGCTACATCCCAGGAGTCCTTTAAGAGAAAACTTGACATGTATTCTTAAGGACTAAAAATAATATCTATGATTTACCACCTTTTCTTTTTCCGCTTTTCGCGATAACATACCTAGGTTCCTGCCTGGAGGTATTGGTGATTCATTGCTACCAGATACGGAAGCCCTTTAAGCAAAAACATCTATTCCGTCTAAAAGCATTTTGAACCATTCGTAAACTGTAAATCTGACTCTTCGAACAAAAATATTGCTTTTCTTTTTAAACAGAGCTCACATTATAACAGGCGTTCTACTTTCTTCTTTCATGAAATCTGGAGTTCTCTACAGTGATGAGGATTACCTCCAAAAAACCTAGATGGCTACATATATTCTGTTTCGTATATCCAACTGCTCTATGACTAAACCATCGTAAAGAATTTTTGGAGCTAAGTACTTCCAAAGTCACTTATAATCCTGGTTAAACAAATACTGTGATGCACGTTACAAGAAAATGTAATGAAAACAAATCTTTCTTTTCGTATAACATTGGCGATTTAACATATTTTGTTTAATCCGCCGGAGGGGACGTAACACATTTTTTCTAATCACACCGGGGTATGACTGACGCAGGCTTCTTCAAGGTTTTTCTTATCAGCTTTCTAATTGTTCCTATCGGTGTTTAGGGTACAAGTGCTGAGCAAGATGCCAGGTTCGCTGACAAAAAGAAAAAGTTAATGAAAACTATGAAATTTGGCGAAAACTTGGCTCAAAAGGTATGAGATCTATTTGTCATTTATTTCCAGGTTGACATGTCCAAAATTAATTTGGAGTCTATAAGACCATGGATTGTTAAACGCATAACAGAGCTTCTAAACTTTGAGGATGAGGTCGTCTGTGACTACATTTTCAACCAGCTGGAGGAGCGCGTGAGTTTGCCCACTTTTTTGTTGTTGACACTGGATTTCTCACAGAAGCGACTTCAGTTTTGGTTAGGGCTAGATAAGGGTCTAAACATTATCATGACTTACTGCTGTTCGATAAATGTCTTTGTCTGATGACTCTGGGCCATTGAAAACTTAAGTAACCATTAATGGTTACTTAAATAATCAATTTTGTGTTTGCCTTAAACAACCTATCACCTACGTAGTCCTTTAGTGAAAGTTCAGAGTTTCTCCTCGACGCCTACTTCTAGTCGAGGTTTTCTCGTCCAAAAGCTGAAAATGTAGGCTATTTTACTCAAAACACCTACTTGCCTGGAGCTTAATTTCACCATAATATTGCTCAATTCATATTTCGTGCGTAAAAGCTGCCTACAAACAAGTTGCAAAAAAGTAGTGGGATGTCTTACTGTCTCCTCGAAACATCCTAGTTTGGGGTGTGTCTATTTATGAAATTAGTTTTGTTACCTGTTGAAGTTCAAGCATGCACTAATAGTCATGATGTGTATGGCTGTCCGAAACGTGAGAACGGCACAGATGTTCATCGACCTCGTTACCATACCGAATCAACTGACTGATGCGATTAGTGCTTCTTGTATACACATTCTGAATTAGGGCAGTTAATTATCGTCTCTTAAACTGTAAACGTTGAACCGCGTTGTTTGTCATGCCTCATTCTGTTCTAAAGGCATAGGTAAATCAGTTGGCTTTCTTCAATGCTGGCATTTTTCTGAATCACTAAAGTTAGCATTTGTGGGAGCTAAATATTAATAAGGAAAAATTTCATAACTAATTGGTGATTTACTATACGTCGAAACCACGGGAAATTTGCATTAAGTGAAAAGTATCTAGAATTTTGCTTTCTTTATCCATTGTTTGTACGTTATCGTGTCATCTCCCAATCAGTTTTTAGTATTTTGATTTCTTATATAAATGCAGCGTGTTCGGGGTTTAAAATGCTATTACATTTATATCGATGTATGCCATGGAACATTACGTCTATAGTTTCCAATTGATACTTTTATTCTACACTACCGAAATAAAAATCGTGGCTGTCCAGTCGTTTAGATGCTTATATCTACAGAAAAGCTGATTTGAGAGCAGCTATTCTTTTTACAGGGGCTTAGCATTTTGTACTAACTTCACTTTTTCCAACATATGAAATTAGGTTTCTACATATTTTAGTCAACCACCATAAGTATTTTAGCGTGTCAGTTGAAAAATAGTGAATAGATTTTAACGTAGTTGGGATTTATTAACTTACGAAATATAAACCAGTTAGTACCTTATTATTCCATTTTTAAATTAACTTATAATAATGATCATTTTTCCAATTTTAAAGTTGGTTTCGATTAAATTTTCAGGTCTTTTGGGATGCACATCGACAAACAATGGTGGAACTCAGGTCTCCTGCGACGCACTGAGTGCGCTGCCGGTACACATTTGAGCTTGTCTGAAAATCTATTAATTTAATAATTAATTCTCATTGTCAGTTAATTGGGTATTCGCTTCCCCAACTTATGTGTTATTTTCTGTTCCTTCTAGCATCCAGACCCAAAGGAAATCCAGATTAATATAACGGGATTTCTAAACAGCAAAAATGCGAGGGTGTTTTTATCCGAACTGTGGGATTTATTGTTATCTGCCATGCAGACACCAGATGGCGTTCCTGCAGCTTTTCTGGAAGCCAAGAAAGAAGAGATCGCAAAGCGTCAGGTAATCTTCTTTTAGGAACTTGATAAAGTCTGTACTCGATTATGTGCTGAACTATTCCATTGACTATCAAAATTCATTCTAAATATAAAATCTGTCATTTTACTTGAATATTACTATTATTGGTCAAAGGTTTGTAGAACTATCTAACTCGGTGAAAACAGCACCCATCAGGATTAACACAGGTTCACCAACCTATTATCCTTATTACCGAAGACTGTATTAATGCTCTAACTGCATATTCATATAGGCTGTGTCAATAATGACCGCTTAAATTCGATCTGTTCACTTAGTAAACTTAATTTCTCAATTAATTACAATGAACAGTTGACATTATCCTGGTATTGTCATCACTCCTATCATAGTAGTTTATTTGGGAGTTTACTGTTCTGGATTCTATCGATTCCAAGAGATGTCTCAATGGTTAAGGTGTTCAATTTCTGACAACTAAGTCGCAGGTCTAAGCCCCGCTTCAATTCTCCGGCTAAGAAACTCTGGGGCCCATAGCCAGGGACACAAATCTGTGCCCGGTGAATGAATTGCTCAGGCTTCAAGAATAAAACTGATATCTTAAAAAAACCTGTCATCTTATTTACCGTAAGATAATAGCATTTTTTGGAAACATTTTTCCTCTCAAATTATAAACAGCAATCGATATTTCCTGCTGTGATTCCTAACTGGTGGATCGTGAATGTTTTCTGACATCCCCAACACTTCTATGTAAATACAACTTTAGCATTTTAGAAAACTGCCAAAGGCCGCCATCTGCCTTATATTTCCTTATGAACATATCTACTATGTACTAATTACAAGACTGATGCAATGGGTCTTGAACTTAAAAGCTCACAAATTATTCTATCTGAGTTATCTGGTTTACATTAGCATCAGAACAAAAGTAGATGTCAATATTTTGTCTTATTGTTTCATTGGTCACTTTACGGATGAGTAATTGCTGAATGCTATTTCGTTTTTTTTTCTCAGGAGGATGAAAAGTTTGTTCTCGAAATGAGAAGGAGGGAAAACGAGTTAATTCAGAAGGGAACTAGTCGAACGTCCAACCTGAGTTCTGAACAAATGCATAATCAGAAGCGCGTTTCGTCCGTCAAAAGCAATGGAGTAGCAGAATCTGAAGAGCCGGAAAGTATGCATTTTTGTGGCAGTTGTCCATCTGAAACTTTTAGTATCCATATATGATGAGACACGGAAAAAAGTTATCATCTAAGGATTTATATTATTGACTGTCAACCACAGCATCTCGTATTTAAAGCTTTCAGTTTGCAAACAATGGGTTACAATTTCTATGGCCTTAAGGCATATACACTGCTTGAAGAGCCAAGTCTAGTTCACACAAGTATTTCTAGAGACAAATATATGAACATGTAAATTTTAAGTTATATTACACGGTTCTATCCTTTCAAGTTTCAGAAAGGACTGATTCTATTCTTGTCAACAACCCGTCAGTCATTTTGGACCAATTTAGAGGCCAACACAAATATGCATTAATCCAAGTTACTTTGGTACGGTGTGATGAAATTTACAATATATTGTAGTGGCAAGCATAATGAAAATGACTAAGCATTGATAATGTCCAAAATAACTATGCATAAGAAAATACTGGAACTTAATTCGTAGAATAAGATAAAGAATGAATCCATCTGCATCATTGTAACTGATTGTGAGTCACATAAGATATCTTTGACCAATGTAGTGATCGGTGCACTTAATTACTTCACTTCATATCGTTAGTTAAGGTGTTGACTTTGTATACGAATATATATTTATTTGGAGCTTTGGCAAGGGAGCATGGGTGTAAAAAGTGTTAATGAAAATGATCAAAATTGTCATAATTTCTCTCCATACGGTAATCATTTGGATCTTCTGCATAATATAATCATAACAGTTAAATCCTGCTTTCCCTGCTTCGGTCTGGGCAGCCGGACAGTATAACAAACCTCACACAAATCAAATGAGATTTGTGTGGCGCATATATATCTGGTGCCCTTTTGTACCAATATTTATGTGTTTAATTAAATTAACCATGCTTTCCATTAGTTTAGCCTTTCTTGTACGTGTTTTTTTCAATAATTCAGATATTACGAACTCTATCTCAATATTTTGTACGATTTTATCTGGTCATCAGTGTACGAGTTTACCTCAGAACCAATTGGTTTAGATCAGAGAATCTACCCTACTTAGTCAAATGAGCTGGTCTATCAAACTTTATTTATGGCTTATAAACCTATCTGTCGTGGTTTAGAGTTAATGATTTTAATTTAAATGAGTGAAACAGCTGAAAATATAAGTTCTTTTAAAACTTGATTCCACTCACTGACCGGTAATACACCTTGCTACATTGTAACATTAATTTCAGAAACAACTAATTATACTCTTAGTAGTTCCGACCTAACAAAAAGACTCATCAGTCTTATAATTCAAATGTCATATAATTCCCATTTAAACATTAAAACACGAAGTTTAGCGAGAAGATAGATCTATTTTCGACGAATTTATTATCAGGCTGTACAATCGTATATATATATATATATATATATATATATATATATATATATATATATATATATATATATGATTTTTTGTTAAACTAGTTCCGTGAAAACATGAACAAGGAATAAACATGATGATGTAATAGAAAGTTGTCATTACTAGATTAAGCAATGTGAATATTCATATTACAAATAAATAAGGATAACAAATTCGTCACTTAATTTTCCATGACTTAAACTATGGGAAGTAGGAAACCTGTTAATTAACCTTTTTGTGATCTATCTTGTGTCGAGACTACAACCCAGCCGTTAAAAGCTGAAGCATTAAAAATCACTGCTTCACAGAGTGGACGTTTTATCCAAGCACTTTATTTTCAACAATGAATTCCATTTATTTATTTATCTGCGAGAGATTTAGGCTTGACTACATATACGGTGTTCCAGCCGTGTTAGGGTTGGTAGGGCCTTATTCCGTGAAGCCGATCATCTTCTCTGGAAATACTTCCTGTTTCACAAACCCACTGCGTGGATGTGATTTTGTAGGGAAATCGTTACTCTTAGGTCTTGGTACGTTGGCGTCGCTATTGTAATCTACGCGTATACTGGTAAAAAGTTTTCACTCATGGTTCTCTTGGTATACACCTACCCAGTGAGTAAATATAAGTTACATGTTCACTAGTAACGCAATTTATCACTGATGCATCCCATAGCATATATAAAGATATATTCACCCACCTGGGGGGTGGATGTTCTCTCTTCGAGTGTATTTGCTACAGCTGGCTGTCACGCATTACATATATATCATTAGTACAAAGGCTTTGGCCCCTGCACTTCATGATATACAAATAAATATATGCCCTCCCCCAGGGAAGGTTGATGGTTATCTCTTCCCAGTATTTGCTGCCATGTTGTTTTAAGTCTTCGACTTAAAAGATTATGCCATTGATTTTGTCAGACATTTCTTCAGCTTACGTTTTTTGTGCTAACCTACTCCCGTACCGTTTTCATTTACCTACATACATAAACCACACAAGCCGAAACTCGTGCAGTTCATATACATGAGCATACACATCGAGCAACATGCGAGATTTTAGAGTCCCGAAAAGGGGAATCCAGTTTATCCGGTTTACAACAGAGTAGTAGATTAGTCCGATCTCGTCGACCGCCCAAGCTAGCTAGCAAAGTTGCTCTCACTACCCGACAGCACCACGTGGATGCTTCGAATCGGATTTAGCTGCCTAGATACGAGCAATGCTCTTCTCACTCTAAAAACGTGATTTCCAATTATTTTTCGAGCCTTCTTAGTTGATGCTATGAAGATTAAAGCATACTCATCAGAATCATTGTGCTTATTTTTCCAGCTTTTACCAATCGCAATCGTTCCACTTCACGAACAGCATCACCAGCCCCTCAACCACCTACAACTACCATAGAAAGTCGTGAAAAACTCGTAAGTATTTTTATTGTTGGACTGTAGTTTTTCCATTGATTTGTTTTGTTTTATCTTAACTTGCAGCTATTACTTACAGTTATTATTTCCATATTCAGGTAGTATTGCAACCTTTCACATTATATTACTTTGTTATGTTGACTTACAACTGCTTGCAATCATCCCAACACACTATTATTGCCAATGTGATAATGTTTCCTGGCACTTCACGTTATGATGCGACTTTTAATGATTAATGGTATTATCTTCAAACCGTATTTTGATGACTGTGAAATTTTAGGATGGAGCAACTAGTCGAACTGCTCATAGAGATGAAACGAGTTCGTCGCGTTCCCCTGAACAACACCGTCGCCGTCGTCATCATCGCCATTCTCCTGAGAGATGTCCGGTCGACACGAAACGTCGTAGATCACGTTCACGCTCTCGTCACCGTCGTCAGCGTTCAAAATCTCTCTCCAAACTGGTACAAAAGCCGTAAGTGATACTAAATGCACATTTGATGAGCATGTTTCTTAAATTTACTTTTTATGTTAAAATTGTGTCAAAATTTATTATATCTGTTTAGCCTTGTTAACATATCCAGCAAGTTTGGCGTCCCCACTTAGAAATTTATCCGGTGCATTACTGATAATACTTTTTTTCTTCTTTTAAATAGGAAATCACCTGTCACTGACTGGAGAAAAGACTTGATGGCCGGTAGACGTCGCAGTCCACCGGAAATGCCTGAGAGTAGTTTTTATGGAAATGAAAAACGTTCAAAAGGCCATAAGCATTCCAAAAAACATGATAAACAAAGACATGACAACAGTCATTCACACAAATCTCACAAAAGGTCTCCATCTCACAACTCTGACTACTATCGATCGCGCAAACATACTCATAATTCTGGATCCCGACATCATAACATAGTCGAAGTCAACGAAAGAGATCAAAGACCAAGTTATTTGGAACAATCAAGAAAAGATAGTTTTGCTGGAAACTACAGAAAATATGAAGGTCCTGACCTACCTTTTCATTATGATCATCGTTCGTCTAGTAGATACAGACAAGATGCTGAATCACACGGTCGCAACGCAAGCCCAGAACCAAGCCGCACGCGCGATAGAGAATCTGATTGGCATCTCAGAGATCATGACCACCGACATAGTCACCATTCTGGTTATATAAAAAGAAGAGAAACCTCATCTGGACACGGAAATTTATCCTTGGAAAGACGTCAGTATCATCGTTTACCGAGTCCTGAAGGACCATCATTGCCCCTAAATATTTCTAAAAGACCTTCAGATTCCAGGATAATCGAAGGTCAGCCAATGTTTTGTGTGCATGTTATAGTCAATATGATACATTTGGCTTATTCGTTTTCAATATTTTCTAAGTTTTTTTTCAGTTACATATTAAGTTGTTTGAACCTCTGTGGTGAAGTTTATTTATCATAAAAACCCTGCTGTAGATAATTCAGCTTACTTCGTATGGTGATTTCGACGTCCCATGGGCACATTTGTCGTGACAAATAGTAATATGCCGTTAATGTTATAGCATGCCTGCACGTTATGACATAATGCTTTTTTTATAAAAGATGGGTCGGCTCCAGAAGTCTTTAAATATGGTGTTCTAGTTTTAACGATTAGATTGACTAATATTTTAACTAAAATCTGGGAACTGAATGTAATCCCATCTGACTGGTCGCAATCACTGATTGTCCCAATGCATAAGAATGTGTCTGAATCATCCTGTGATAACCATATAGGGATTGGTTTGACTAATCAGTCAGTCAGCTACAATGTAGGACCAGGCACATATATTATTTTATATATTTATTTGAACACAAATATTTGTACAAAGGGGTACCGAATACATATGCACCACACAGGTCACTTGGTTTGTGTGTGGGCTGTGATACTGCCCGGGTGCCCAAACCGAAACAGGAGGCACATATATGCATCGTTCATATTTGCCATACCTCATTTGTACAAGACGAGTTCATAGATTATTTACTTCAATGGTAGTAATATATAAAAGAAAGATTGTGTATAAGGATATAATACAGAAAGAAACAATTAGTTTGTAGAAAGAAAGGTATAGAGTAACTTTAATCTCACAGTTCAAGGGTAGACAAAGAGTGTACACACCTACTCTATTATGATCAGTCCTGAGCTATGTCATACAAAGTCTCCAACCATTGGTTACGATAGTTGCGCGGATCCCAACCAAGTAGTCTGCATCTACCAACATGGCCAAGACTAGATGTTAGTGACTTCGAGGACTGATGCCACGTTTTGGTTCTGCAGCCCTTAACTTTCAACCATCTCCAACACTAGGCAGCATAGCGCGTCGTGGTAATCGGTGTCCAGGCATACGTAATTGTGGCCCAACCATCTCAGTTGGTGAAGATTTAAAACCTAATATAGCATCTAAAATACTAGCCTCAATAATTATCGGACGCCTAACAAAGACTCGTAAACTGCAAACACGAGGAAATCATACTGGCTTTAGATCTGATCGTAGCTGCATCGGCCACATATTCACTATTATTGTCGGTATGCGACAATGATAGTTTTCCTCGACTTTAGTGCAGCATTTGACTCAGTAGACCGAGAGGTTCTGTGGCATTGTCTGTCATTGAAAGGTGTACCTCAGAAGTACATAAATCTTGTAAAGACTCTTTACTCGAACACTACTAGTTGAGTCAGAGCTTATGGCGGACTGTCATCTGATTTCGAAACCTCAAGTAGTGTCTGGCAAGGCTGTCCACTACCTCCATTTTTGTTTAACCTCATCATAGGCCTACTGATGGAAATAACGCTCTCGTCGACTGGATTTTCGGGCATCGATCTTCCAGGAGGTCCATTCATCGACTTGGAATACGCAGATGACATAGTCCTGTTTGGTGAAGGGGTTGATAAAATGAAGAGTCTCATGGCGGCATTGAACAACAATACCAGAATGTTTGGGATGCGTTCCCCCCTTTTAAATGCAAGTTTTCGTTTCAGGACTGATCTGCGTCAACACCTAAACTGAGGATAAAGAGTGAAGTAGTCGAACTCGTTGATAAATTTACTTATCTTGGAAGTCGGATCAGCTCTAATGAGTTGGTGTCTGACGAAATTTGTGCACGGATTCAAAAAACTCATTTGGCTTTTGACAACTTACGTCATATATGACGAAGGCGAGATATCCGTCTTTCAATAAAATTATTAGTATACTGCTAAGCAGTTTGTTCTTTTCTACTTTACGGCTGCGAAACTTGACCATTAAGCATAAAAGATACTCATAATTTACTAGTCTTTGATTACAGATGTTTTAGAAATATTGCTCACATCTACTGGGATCACCAGGTAACTACTAATGAGGTTACATGCAGAGTCTTAGGGAATGATGGTAAATCCATTGATGAGGTTCTTAATCTTCATTGACTGAGACGGTTAGACCACGTGTTATGTATGCTTGAACACCGATTACCACGACTTGAAAAGATTCAAGCAACAGAATTTAAAGATCAATATAATATCAGCCTCCAAATGCCCTGGTACGACCGACGGTGGGGAGAGTAAGCTCTACCTCTTGAAATGCTCTCACATAGCCACGCGTATGTAGCCTCTGCCAGGGAAGTCCTACTCATTGCCTTCTCGCGGTATTACTATTGTTTACGAAATTGAGAGAACAAAAAGGGAATGTTCGGTGCTTTAACCGGGTTGGTGGACACGGAGTGTCTACCTAGGGGAGTCGGAAAACCCTGATTCCAAACCAGTGGTGCACATGGACTCCAACATCGTGAGTGAACAAATGGCGTGTGAACCTATTGTTGGTTACCTGCTACTATGGGACTGCATCTCCTTACGTTGCTCCAGTGCCTTGTGGATTAGACCTTTAGATCAAAGGCTCGGATAGTGGCCCCTTAAGAAAACCACCTACTTTTGTTTGGGCACCCGTGCATTATTATATCCTACTCACAAATCAAGTGAGTTGTGTTGCGCATATGTATTCGGTGTCCCTTTGTACCAATATTTATGTTCAAATAAATGATAGTAATTATGCTGTCATAATTTAATCATTTTAAAGTTGTTTGATTTTCCCCATCGCTTATAGTTGCAATTTAACTTCCCTAAATTTGTTGTTTGCTTCCAGGAGTCCCAAGTAAGCGCACAAAACGTGAGGCATCTGCTTCGTCAAGCAGCTCATCAACCAGCAGCAGCTCTAGTAGTAGCGGTAGTAGTAGTAGCAGTAGTAGTGGAAGCTCCAGTAGCAATGAAAGCGAGAGCGAAGAAAATGAAGAAGAATCCAAAAAGACACAAATTGAAATCCTGAAGAAGGAACCCACCCCTGAAGGTCCTGCTCTCCCTCCAGAGTCGGAGGTATCCCAACCCGAAGGTCCTGCTCTTCCCCCAGCTGTTGAACTCGCCGTAGAGTGGTCGGAAAACCCAGCCCATTCTGGATCAACATCCCCAAGTTCAACAACTTCAGGATCTTCTAGTGGCGACGAACACAGTGAGGAATCGGGATCAAGTGATAGTGACAGTGGCAGCAGTAGTGGCACCGGTAGTAGCAGTAGCAGTGAAAGTGAAAATGAAGCCAAAACAGAACTTCACAAATCTGAAAGAAACGGAAAACACCCTAACAATCTTGGAAATCATATGTCTCCTGAAGGTCCTGAATTACCTCCTACCTCTCGTTCTAGTTCACATAAGGTATATGCACATCCTACGTAGTTGTTGCATTTTCTGTTATCATTTTTGTCATTCCTTATTTTTCAAAATTTTGTTTCATAACGGGTTTACTTGGAGGCTGATGTGTATTTTCAAAATTATCCATTTCAGAATATTGTAGCACATTGTGTGGTGCGAAAACTCTACTATCATTAATGTAGTTTGGTTAAAAATTGAATAAAAGCGCTTTCATATTGATCCTTTACTAGTTCATTGAGGGTTTTATTATTGTATCAGTCTATCTCCGATAGTGACTAGATCCCGCTTTTTTGGTATCTGGCAATGTGAAGAAATAATTAAACATTAAGTCACTGTTGAGTACTCTCATGAGTCGATATAATCACATGAAAGAATTGTACGTGATTGTTTTACTTTATGTTCTCTCAAAGTCCTAATATCTATAATCAGAACTTGTGACACCTATGGAAGCTTAACCTGTTCTTTCAGTAATTCTGGGCACCTTAAATATTTTTAAAAATTCGGATCTCTGCTTGTTCATGTTGACACAGTTTTAGGAGTATAGAGTCGTGTAGCTGTTATTAAATTAGGTTAATTGTTCTTCCTAGTTGTTTAATACAAGCGTTCTTGTAATCCATTAATTTAGTTGCTTGAATTATAGCTTCACTGACTATCCTTTCAGGACAAATGGATCTGGTATATATATGGAACTGGTATCTGTTACGTTTATTTAGTGGTCTGTTTGTTTTTTGCCCCAGCGCAATTGCAAAAAATTAGTCAAAGTAAGAATAACAAGACTCGCAGAATAAAATGAAGTCATTCTATAGCAGCTGCTAAGAGGCTTAGGTATTCATCGAATTTCATGCCTTCTGTTTCTATAATTTACTATTCGGACAAGGTGTATACATTTGGAACATCGTCAACATTCTCTCTCCACTCAGTCATAACGTAGTACGTTCAAGAAATTTGCGTAAACACAAGCGCCCACACTAAATTACGATAATTAGCTAAAAATAACGATATGGATAGCTAAAGATGATAATATCAATGATTGTAGAAAACTAAGCAAAGAAAATGACTCGAGAAGAAAGAATTGGTTCACGGAATAAAAATACCTATAATAGTGAAACTCAATCAAGTATTTGTAGAAACGGAATGTGTGCAATTGCTCCCCCTACCTGGTCGTGAACTGTGTCACCCAACATCTCTAAACATCACTTCAGTCTTGCGAACGTCAACCAGGTTGTCTGCATCTAAACAACATGGCTGATTCCAGAAGTCAGTAATTTCACTGGTCAATACAGCGTCTTGGTTTGACTGATCTTAGCTTTCTTCCAACCAAGACTGCATGCTGGAGTAGGCGTAACACGTGTCAGCTAAATTAATCAATAAAGATTTACTGCCAATAAAATACTCCTAACCTCAGCATTAGTCACTTGGTTGTTCTACTGTAGGCAATCATTGCTTGAAAGACGTCTTGTAGATAACGTACGTCTCCCACTTTCATAGACCATGTTACACAGCAATATAGAGCAGACTCTTGTGGAGAGTCGACATTCCCACATCACAAGTGACCTCAAATAGCAAAAGCTGCACAATTTTTCTGAATTCATGCAGAGATTTCATCAAGCGCAAAACCACTAAAGTAAATGAGATCAAGATATGTCAATTGGTTGGCGCACCTAACTACTTCACTCTCTATCATTAGTTCCGGGGTTGACGCAAACCAGTCATAGAGCAATGTTTTAAATTAAAGAGGAGAGGAATGTATCTTGAACGAGCTTAAATTGTCTCTAAAGCTATTTAGAAGATCAGTCTTTGTATCTTCACAAAATAGGGCTATGTCTTTTACGTACTCTAGGTTGATAAATGAGTTTCCAGAAGAGTGTGATTCTTAGGATGATATCTATGACAATAATGGGTACCCGTGACGAATATTACTTATAGTTGACGATTCTGACAACAGTTCGATATGAGCGCTGACTCGGCCAATATTGCTTGCCTTTACAAATTTTATGTACTTTAGCACACCTTTTAACGATGAACCGAGTGGTTGGCACTTTGATTAGTTTTAAAGAAGTTTTCAAAGCTCTCTGTAACCCCTTAAGCTCCAAACTTTTGCACCAAAATTCATATTTTAGACCAGTTTAGAATAAGCATTGATAAAAAGACAACTAACTTGTGCATTCTTCATATTCCTATCTTCGAGGTAAACAAGAAAACTTGTCAGCTCTTGACTTTCTAATACTTACAAAATATAGACTTATCTGTATAAGCGTCAATTCATGGTCTTTTTTGCTAGTTCTTTGGAGATTATCAGAAACTTGAATAAAGAGAACACTTACTTTGTAGTAGCCATCTGTTATATTCTATTTTGTGAAAGTTGATTTTTTCATTCTTTTATGTAGAGGAATGACTCCCATGAATCAGTTGAAGAGGTTTTACGTCGACGAGCTTTGGAGTCTTTACTGCGGAGCTCACAAAAACGCCGTGGTTCTCCTTAAATGGAATGAGTCAATTTCCATTGATTTGTGGATTAAATTTTACAATATTTTACTCTTTTATTATTTGAGACAACACATACTTATGCCGGTTTAAATAAATAGGAAATAAATGTAAACAAAATCTGGGTTGTTTTCCTAAAAAAAAGTTCTTCAATGTGATCAGCTATCTTCATAATAAACCAGTGTATTGTCAGTTATTGAATTTCCTTTAACTCCCTTTTGTATAGATACTCCAAAAATTCATAAATTATGTTTGTTGATATGAATGTTAAATTGTAATTTTTTTTTTTTTAAAGAATTGCATGTCTTAATTATACTGAGTTTTATAATATGCAATCATTATGTAACTAAATAAAGTGAAAATTTACTCTCATGATCATCAGCATTGAATATCAGTATTGTAAGCATGGTAACAAACAAAGTTATTTGCCATTTACTCTCTTCTTAATCCAATTGAAATTTATCATAAAAGCGTATTTAACTGAAGTTCTACTTAAACAGTGAGAATTTTTTGCATTAAGAAAACATACTTTTCAATTATATCAAATAAAACAATCAATTTCAAAATAACTTTATTTGAGAAGTTAGATAAATTCTTTAAAATTTATGAAAAACCGTTGCACTAATGCTTCATATGTGAAACTATCTCACCCACTTCTGTTGTAGCAGTTGGATAGTATCACTAACCCTCAAAACTGGATGAACAAATCTGTAGTTGGTACAGATCTCTGAACTTGAAATGTTGGTGTTCAAGATATATATAATGCTTGGTAAGCGTGGCTTCTAAGGTTTCACCTTTTATCACCGTATAAAGACTTAGTTGGTATTCTATACCTACTTTTTTAGAATACGACAGTACACACCAGAATATCAGAGAACGTTGGGATGTAACGAACTTTGACATTCGTAATATAACTCATTGAATTCAGGTTTAAGTAGTGCACTTTAGGGCACATCTTTTGTACGATAGCTGGTTACACTAATCAATTGTCAAAACTGAAGGTTGAGCGAGGCTCAAACCCTCCTTAGCTACTTAGTGACCGTTCCTAACCTTTCTGGTTACATTATAAACAGTTTAGTAAATATGACCTAATAATACACAAATAAGCCTCTCGCCATGCCAGTCAAAAACCCGATTACGACATCCTCAGTATTTGTTCTGAAATTTAAGGTTCATTGTGAGAAGTATTTATTGAGTTGTATTTTTCCTCATTTAGTAAACCAGTATTGGGATAATTTGACTCTCAGCTGATCCAAATAAAATACAATTGAGGTGGTTCTAGGTTCTTAAAAGCTAATGGCCAGCTTGAAACATCTGTTGAAACTAACGTAGGTCACCAGCTCGTGTTGTCATTAGGAACGGCCTTATTAGCGAAGTGATTAAGTCGTATTGTTAGACCGGTAACAAGTGTGTATCGTTCCAGCTTTCTATAACCCACATCGTTATAGCATTTGAAGAAATTATTAAAGTACAAGATAAGAGGATTTAATTTCAATCGCAATGTAGGTCGAAACATCAGTAGTAATGTCCTGAAACGATCAGTGAGATCGAAAATATAGACCAAGTGAGCAACTTCTCCCTAACAAATTCTTTGTCATATCACTCAATATTTTTAACCACCTAGTTAATCGGGTTAGACCTCAAATAGGAAGTCTGCTCTATTCAACTTGGATTATCTCAGTTTGATAACTACAACTATTTAACACTATTCTATAATCCTTTAGGAAATGCTTATAAATATTAATCCTAGAACACATATCAGTCATATTGCTACGAAATCGCTACTCATTATCTAGTTCATTGATATCACAGGTATGAATTCAAGTTTCTGTGTAATATTGAACAATAGATTAATTAATTAAAATATAATAATAATAACACTATTTTTAGAATTATATAAACAATATAGCCTTTTAATATTATTGATTAATTCCTGATGTAAGCCATTGTTCAAGTGTCTTTTGTTTAGTTAATGAGAGTACATTAGAAGAAGTAAGTCAATATCATTCTTGTTCTTTCATTCATTCATTCATTCATACAAAGACCATAATATAAGAACATGAATCGATACTTAATCAGAATATCTTATAGATGTAAAATAAGGCAATATATAGTTTTATAATAACGTGTTTTTAATTAAAATATACATACTTAATCTGATGACATTGCATGTTTTCTTATATCTATGTATGTAAAGTATATACATGCAATGTGGATTATAAAAAGTCGTACAGATTTAAATTTCAACTGTAAATTACCATTCTGTTTAGTACCATGTTTAAAAGTAGTCTACAGTAAAACCATTTAACAGTTAAATCCACGTTTTCAAACACCAAAACAGCAGATGAATGACCATAAGTTTGTTTATGATTTAGATTCATAATCCGTATGATTATGTAGATAGAATACATAAACGGATCACACTACACTTTGTAAATCTCAATCAATAAGAACATTTGTTGATATCAAACTGAGTAACATAAGTATAGCTAATTGATTGTTACTGTTGGATTATTTTGAAATTTAAATTGTCGATGTTTCTGTAAACAAACTATTGTTAAGCTTCTGTGTTGAAACCGAATGACTGACGTTTAACACTTCACTGAATTCGTGATATATGATGACTATCATTGATAGCCACCATAAAGTATTTGTTTCCATTATCAATTTGATTGAAATCAAGTTACCTTATTAGAAATCATAGAAGGGTAGTTTAGTTGCTTGTATTGGCTATTAGAGCAATAATAGAATTAAATATTTGTAAAGATTTAATGTCAATTGAGCAATAGTGTAAGTTTTGAAAATATCAAGCATCCTAACCATCACATACTCATATGTTAACTCAAAAGGTTACTCGTTAAGTGTAAAATTTGGAAATTGCTTTTTCAACATCTACTCCGATGGGGCCGATTTTAAAATACCTAGTTTCTAATCCGGAATCGGAAGTTAAACAAGTTTTCCAGTTAATTTATCGTTGGGAAATGATTCGCGTGTTATTCATTTCGTAAAAGTCTCATTTGCTAAGTATAAATAATTAATATATTTGTAATATCCCAATGAGTAGAAAAACTAGATTTTCTAACGTTTCGTGACTCAGTGTAAGCCACTTCTTCGGACAAGAGGTAGCCAAATCAAAATATAATGCTTAATCCTACTGCTCTCAATAGAGAAGAAGGCCTTACCATGCATCCCAGTTGGCCTACCTTGCCACCTCGTCTGATAATATTCTCAATTCACATTATTATCTTACAAATTAAACTCTATCCTTTATCATTATGATGGTCACACATTCTTCATCCTTAACAGTGTACACAAATACAAATTTACATACATATCGCTTATGAATCACCTTGACCGAAATGACGTGACACTAACCTGTTCAGACCTGTTTTTTGATTGATCACACCTAATATTCGTGTTGTTCCGTTGTACTATTTAAACCAGAGCAACACTCTTTATAGGTACATGGAACGTCCGGACAATGTGGGAAACAGGAAAGACCAGCCAAATAGCAATGGAAATGAGGAGATACAACTTGGCAGTACTCGGAATCAGCGAAACCCATTGGACACAAACTGGACAACAAAGGCTAGGTACAGGAGAGATGCTGCTGTACTCCGGTCACGAAGGGGAAAATGCGCCACACACTCAGGGAGTTGCTCTAATGCTGTCCAGAGAAGCACGAAATGCACTTGTGGGATGGGAATCTCATGGACCCAGGATAATCAAAGCATCATTCAGAACAAAGAAGCAAGGGATCACAATGAACGTTATCCAATGTTATGCACCCACCAATGATAGCAACGACGATGATAAAGATCAGTTCTATGAAAGGCTGCAATCAATTATAGCAAAGTGCTCACGAAAGGACCTCACCATCCTTATGGGAGATCTAAATGCTAAAGTTGGAGTGGACAACACAGGATATGAAGATGTAATTGGACGACATGGACTAGGAGAGAGAAATGAAAATGGGGAGAGACTTGCAAACCTATGTGCTTTCAACAAATTGGTTATAGGCGGCACAATATTTCCACACAAACGCATACACACAGCTACATGGATCTCACCGGACCACACCACAGAGAACCAGATTGATCACATCTGTATCAACAAAAAATTCCGAAGATCAATGGAAGATGTGAGAACCCGGAGAGGAGCTGACATAGCTTCAGATCACCACCTGGTTGTGATCAAGATGAGACTGAAGCTAAAGAAAGACTGGACAACTGGACAAACAGCACTACAAAGGTTTAATACAGCCTTCCTTCGAGATACTGACAAACTCCATGAATTCAAGATAACTCTCAACAATAGGTTCCAAGCTCTACAGGATCTACTGGATGGACAAGAAACTACTTTGGAGGACAACTGGAAAGGGATAAAAGAAGCACTAACTTCAACGTGTCAGGAGGTTCTTGGTCCTAAGAAGCACCATCACAAGGAATGGATCTCTATGGGGACCCTGGACAAACTTCAAGAAAGGAAGAACAAGAGACTAGCAATTAACAACAGCCGAACACGAGCAGAGAAAGTCAAAGCACAAGCAGACTACGCAGAAGCAAACAGAGAAGTGAAGAAAAGCATTAAAGCCGACAAGCAGAAATACATGGGAGAACTAGCAACGGCGGCGGAAAAAGCTGCAAGAGAAGGGAATATGAAACAACTATATGATACAACGAAGAAATTGGCAGGGAGATATAGCAAACCAGAGAGACCAGTCAAAGACAAAGAAGGAAAGACAATCACTGAGATTCAGGAACAGAGGAAAAGATGGGCAGAATACTTTGAGGAACTGCTGAATAGACCAGCCCCATCGAATCCACCGAACATCGAAGCAGCCCACACTGACCTTCCAATAGATGTCACTCCACCAACGATCGAAGAAGTCAAGATGGCCATCAGACAAATCAAAAGTGGGAAGGCGGCAGGACCTGACAATATACCAGCAGAAGCACTGAAGTCAGACATTGAAATAACTGCAAACATGCTTCACCTTCTATTCAAAAAGATTTGGGAAGAGGAACAAGTGCCAACGGACTGGAAAGAAGGATATCTCATCAAGATACCAAAGAAAGGAGATCTGAGCCAATGTGAGAACTACAGAGGCATCAGTTTGTTATCAGTACCAGGAAAAGTTTTCAACAGAGTGCTGCTGAATCGGATGAAAGACGCAGTAGACGCCGAACTTAGGGATCATCAGGCTGGATTCCGTAAGGATCGGTCGTGCACAGACCAGATTGCGACACTACGGATCATCGTTGAACAATCAGTTGAGTGGAACTCATCACTATACGTCAACTTCATCGACTATGAGAAGGCGTTTGACAGCGTGGATAGGAGAACATTGTGGAAACTTCTTCGACACTATGGAGTTCCTCAGAAGATCGTCAACATTATCCAAAACTCATACGATGGATTACAGTGCAAAGTGGTGCATGGAGGACAGCTGACAGATGCATTTCCAGTAAGGACCGGAGTCAGACAAGGCTGTCTACTCTCCCCATTTCTCTTCCTTCTAGTGATTGACTGGATTATGACGAATTCGACATCTGAAGGGAAATACGGAATACAATGGACTTCTCAGAATCAATTAGATGATTTGGACTTCGCAGATGACCTAGCCCTCCTCTCTCATACACACGACCAAATGCAGATGAAGACAGCAAATGTAGCAGCAGCCTCCGCATCGATAGGCCTCCACATTCACAAAGGAAAAAGCAAGATTCTCAAATGCAACACGGAGAACACCGACCCAATCACACTTGATGGCGAAACTCTGGAGGAGGTGGAAACATTCAAGTACCTGGGGAGCATCGTTGATAAACAAGGAGGATCGGATGCAGATGTAAAGGCAAGGATTGGCAAAGCAAGGGCAGCATTTCTACAATTGCAGAACATATGGAACTCAAAACAACTCTCAACCAATTTCAAAGTCAGAATCTTTAATACGAACGTCAAGACAGTCCTACTGTATGGAGCTGAAACGTGGAGAACTACTACAGCCATCATCAGGAAGGTACAAGTATTTATAAACAGTTGTCTACGCAAAATACTCAACATCCATTGGCCGGATACTATCAGCAACAGCGTTTTATGGGAGAGGACAAACCAGCTTCCAGCTGAAGAGGAAATAAGGAAAAGACGTTGGAAGTGGATCGGACATACATTAAGGAAATCACCAAACTGCATTACAAGACAATCTCTAACTTGGAATCTGGAAGGGAAGCGGAAAAGAGGAAGGCCAAAGAACACACTACGCCGGGAAATAGAAGCAGATATGAAAAGGATGAATAACAACTCGAGAGAACTGGAAAGGAAGGCTCAGGACAGAGTTGGATGTAGAATGCTTATTGGCGGCCTATGCTCCTCCACGAGGGGTAACAGGCGTAAGTAAGTAAGTAAGTAAGTACTATTTAAACTTGGATTAATTTTGGTTTGGTTATTTATTCTCTGAAGAAGTGGCCTACACTGAGTCATGAAACGTTAGAAAATCTAATTTTTCTACTTATTGGGATATTACAATTATATTAATTTATTTATAACAACCTATCCAATGCTCAATTTATTCAAAATTATCAAGCCAAATCTTGGTAATGATACCTAATTGCTAGGTATATTTTCACATCGACATGAAAATTTATATCAAACTGCACTAAAACAGTATGTTAAAACTACCATTAAAATTCTCCTATAATCAGAAACAATAACGTTCACTGGAGAGTCTGGACTACAACGAAAAACGCTTCCAATGACCAAACAGTAATATAGATTGTTTCTTAAAGTTAAACATGAGGCGATGGATTAGTAATTACAACATTAGCTTCCATCTCATACGTCGTAAGTTCGGATCCTCATTCACTTACTTCTGTTTGGAGACTCGGGTATCATTATTAGCCCTCAAAGTGTAGTATATAGACCTGCAATAGATAAGTGAGTTACACTAAATTAAAAATTTACAAAATCTATTCAGTATCGAGACAAATATACGCAGCCTTTCTAGTTTTGGATTCCATAGATCACTCAGGTGTATCTAAAAAGAGGACGGTTTTATTACATATTGTCTCTCT